GGTCTGTCTGTTAATTAAATGCCGTAACTTATCTTTGGCTCGGAGTGTGTTGGTGTGGGACGAGGGGGGTCAGAACAGAGTAGTATCCATCCTCTTGAATAGCTTCCCCTTGAAGTTCTGACTTTCCTGCATTCTGCTGTCTCCCTTTATATTATTGAAAACAGCTCTTCCAGTGCCTGGAGAGTGAAATCATGCTCTCCTTATTTGGATTTCGCTTATATTTTACTTTTTAAATTATATTTTGCTTTATATTATCATGGCTATTTTTGTAAAATTATCATGTACATCTTAATTATGCCATTAAGAAAACTGCAACAAATCGACATTGCTCCCTTACTACAGTTGAGAAAGAGTTATTGCTGACTTTCATGACTTAGGCAGATCTACAGTACAACTTAGTTTTTCTGTTCCTAGTCCAACACTAGACCAAATTGGCTCCAATATTATCAAAACAGAATATACACAATTACAAAATTTAAAGAGAGGGAAAAAGTCTAATGTATTAATTTCACACCTGTATATTATATTCTAATATATTAAAAGATATAGAACACCAGAATATTTTTAGCCTTCCAAATATTTTTTAAAACTGAACTGTTTCAAAACATGCTTCCCAAGTAAAAATAAATATAAAGTTGTCAGGCAGTGGTGGGTTGCAGGCGGTACACCCAGTACAGTGCTCCGGAGGGCCCGCCCGAGCTCCTTACCGGTGTTTAAAGGCTTCTGCGCTTCTGCGCAGTCACATGGCACGTACAGCACCTGCGCGACACTCCGTGGAGCAGCTGGAGCATCACGGAGACGCTAAGACGCATGAGCAGGCTGCGCGCATCCATGAGGACACCGCTGATCCCGTTCCAACCATACCGGTTGCAACAGGATTTGCAACCCACCACTGTTGTCAGGATGCAATCATAATGAAGAGCATTGTTGAAGTGCCTTCTGAATGGCAGCCATTCCATTCAGAAGTGAATTATTTGGTATGCCAGGTTAAAGGATGACTAGTCAGGATTCGCAGCCAGATCCTCAACTCTGGAAACAGACCAACTAGCTTTCCTTCACTCTGGAGCTCAATGACCTGAAACAAATAAAAATAAAGTACTGTGCCATCCTAACACTATCTAACATGTGGGAAAATGCATAGCTATAATATTTTTTTAATGTGAACAGGAGGAAATCTGCATGACAGATGGGAACATTTTAAGTGTAGAAAACAAGCCACGTCATAGAAATTGGTGCTGTATTCTTTATGCTTTATAGGCTTTTTAAAAGCCTATAAATTCTTGTTTTTATCAAGACATAATTAAATGCAAGAAAACGTGATTGCTATTAACAATT